TATATATATATATATATATATATATATAAATAAGATTGCCAAGTTAGATGAGCACGAGTAACCTAGCCGAGTAAAAACTGATAGTTAGCAAGTCGGGGATTATCAATAAATCGGCTCACCTAAATCGGAAATAAATTGTTTTTATTTTAAAATGTCCGATAAAAAATAGGGTAAAAAATACAGATTGGCAAAAATACTTCATGTAAAGATATTGCTAATATATCAGATTAGGCTAAAAAAATATGAGTAAAAAAATCAGATAAATTCATAATATTAGAAATTTTGAAATTCTAAAAAAAAAAAAATTTTGTCAAAACCATCAATAACTAATTCATCCATAAAAAATTTAGTAAACTAATTTAAATTAAATCAATTATTTTAGATAACTCGTGACTCTCATCCAATCATTCCATCATTCAATATTAAATACATAATTAACTAACATATATATAAAAAAAGTACTATATAAATAAATACTTTAAAAAACATCACACCTACTTATTATAAATCAAAAATAAATATACAGTATAAATTTATTCATTAAATATTTTAATTATTGTATGATGACAAATATATTATATAAATTTATATATTAAATATTTAAACATCACGCCTTCTCAAAAGCAACAAAAAAAAATGCATGATTTTTGTTTTCTCAATGATTTAACTATAGTACGGTAACTATGGTCAGTCCATCACTATGGTTAAAGTTTTATACCCAAATTTCATTGATGGAAAAGCGGCTCGTAGAAATTTGGGTTTCGTATCTGTGCTTTTACAGTGTTGACGGTTTAGAGAGAGAAAAAAGAAGGAAGGGAAGAAAATAGGGCTGGGCTCATGGCCATTAGGGTTTAGGGTTTACTGAGAGAAGAAGGAAGAGGTCATCGGCTTTATAAACCCTAATGGAAGAGGCCCTAACTGATTTTTAGAGAGAAGAAAAGGAAGATGGGATGGTGATTTGGGATAGTTTGAAGAGGGTTTTTCATTTTCTTGGGGAACAAGAAGCAGAGCTACAGGATTAGGTTTGAGGAACTAATCCTATATGTACAATTGCTTGCTCATGTAAGTTTACAGTTTACACTATATTGTTTATCTTTGTTATCACATAATCAAAAACAAAATATTGATTACTTGGTCCTGTAGTCACACTCTCTGCTTCTCATTCATCAGTAAAAGACTATGTTTTGAGCTCTAATTTGTGCCATAAACAGTATTTTCATAAAAACAATTATCACAAATAATCACAGAAATCTGCATATATATGATTTACTATAACAGTATTTCATTTACATAATGATTTTCCATAATAGCTACTGAAATCTGCATCTATTTGTTTAATTTTTTTTAAAAAAAGGGGAAAAAAAATTCATACCTTCAATCTGCAACTGTGGCTTTGAAGAACACAGTGGGGATAAAAAATTCTATTTTAGGTTTGTTTTTTGAAATAATTTTTTTTCAAAAGCATGAAAGTAGCAATGGCTGCAATAGAGAAAACAGGAAAAAAAATAATTTATCTTTCAAAAAACAATTATAGGTAAAAAAAGATACGATTTTTTACCTGGTTTAAATCGTATTAGGAAAAAGGCGCGCTTTAAACGTTTTTATGAAAACTGCACGATTTTTTCCCGACCTTTTAAAACAACGTCGACGATTAAAAGGCGATTTGCTAACTATGGTTTATGTAGAAGTACCTGTCCACTGCCATGTTATATCCCTTTGGTTCTCAGCCGAACCTTGACCAAGAGGAACAAATTCAATGAATCACAATGAAAAATCTGAACTATTTTCTGATAGTAATTGATGCTCCAATGGATGGTTGTCCTAATGGCCAAGGAAAATTAGAGAAAAAGCTAATCTGAGTGCTTCATAGAGCAGGTTCTTGAGAGAGAGATATGGCGGAAAGTGCAGCAGCATTTGTCATAGAGAAGTTGGGAGAACACCTCGAGAAAAATTTGACACTCCTCTTAGAAGTGGAAGGAGATGTTCAGTGGATCAAAGACGAGCTTGAAAGCATGAGAGTGTTCTTGAAGAGTGCTGATAAGAAAAGTGATACTAATGAAGCATTGGATGCTTGGGTTCGACAAGTGCGAGATGTGGCCTACGATGCTGAAGATGCCCTTGATGAATTCATTTTGCGAATGGAGGGTACAGAACAGCTCAATGGATGCATCGAGTGCTTGATCTCTCTTGCTCACTTTGTCGAAATACTAAGGATCAAACATGAGGTAGGAACCAAGATACGGAGCATTAAAGAGCGAGCTCGTGAGATTTTCGCGAGAAGAACAAGGTTCAATCTTGAAAAAGAAGAGATGACATCAAATATCACTTCTAGCGGACAGGAATCTCCATTGGCAAATTCATATTCGGTTGAGGATGAACATTTGGAGGGAATTGGGAAGAAAGTGCAGATGCTGGAAGGATGGTTAGTAGATGGTGATCTACAAGTGAAGGTAATCTCAATTTTGGGAATGGGTGGTCTAGGGAAGACTACTCTTGCCAAAAGAATTTATAACATGGAAAATATAAGGAAACACTTCAATTGTTGTGCTTGGGTTACAGTTTCACAGCAATTTACAAAAATTGAAATTTTGAATTCCATTCTGAAAGGATTTTCTCAAAGTCATGAAGACGAGATAGACGAGGGAAATTTACGGGGAAAAATCCACGCATGTTTACAAGATAAGAGATACCTCCTGGTGTTAGATGATGTGTGGAGCGAAGATGTGTGGGGATGGGTTCATACCATGTTTCCTGGTTTAGTAAATGGGAGTAGATTCCTCATCACAACTCGCATTGCAGAAGTTGCTTCACCCATGCATGTAAGGAGCATGATTTACTCGCTCGAACCGCTATCAAAAGAGGAGGCATGGTCCCTGTTTTGCAAAAAGGCATTTTGGATAGAAGATGGGAACACTTGTCCCTTGGATTTGGAGGAAGAAGGGCGACAAATTGTCAAGGAATGTGATGGTCTTCCGCTTGCAATTGTCGCTATTGGGAGTATGATGTCTAAAAAGGCCAAGACATCAGTTGAATGGGCAAAGATTCGCCGTAGTCTTGCATGGGAATTGAACAACCATCCATATCTTGAAGGTGTGAGGGGGATTTTGTCACTAAGTTTTAAGGATTTGGTGCCCCTCCTAAAGTATTGCTTCTTTTACTGCTGTTTGTTCCCAGAGGACTTCAAGATTCGCCGGTCAAAATTGATTAGGTTGTGGGTTGCCGAGGGATTCATAGAAGGACATGAAGGAATGACAAAGGAGGAAGTTGCCGGGGATTATTTTAAGGAATTGCTTGATAGGAATTTAATTCATGTGGCAAAAATTAGTACAAGTGGGCAGGTTAAAGCCTGTCGGGTACATGATGTAGTGCGCAAGCTTGGTCTTTCTTTGTCTCAAAAGGAGACCTTTGGGGTGTTTCAAGATGGAAGAGACAGGAAATTCGACAAGAAAACTCGGCGTATCGCAATCCTAAACAGCACTTTATGTTCCTCTGCTGAGATGGAAATATCTCATCTTCGAACACTTCTCTTGTTTGTTGCATACAGATCAATACCTTTATATTTTCCTCAGTTGATGCATAGCTCACAATTTTTGAGGGTCTTGGATCTACAAGGCATCCATATGGAATACTTGCCTGAGGAAGTGGTACACCTTATTCATCTGAGGTATCTTGGATTGAGAGACACAGGGATCAAGAAGGTTCCAAAGTCTTTAGAAAAACTAAGGAGCTTGATAACATTGGACTTGGAGGGATTCAAGGGAGCTTTGCCAAGTGGTATCTTTAAAATACAGACTTTGACATATTTGAATGTGGCTCAATTTGATGTTGGTTTTGTCATACCACTGGGTTTGAGGGTTCCAAATGGGATAGGAAGTTTAATGAACCTCCAAACACTAGGATATATTCGAGGTGATTCGGACATTGTCAAGGACCTGGGGAACTTGAGACAGCTCAGAAAATTAAAGATCCAGTTAGAGAAGAGTGAAGCTGGGAATGAATTATGTGCATCTGTTCAAAACATGGATTCGCTACGATCCTTAAACATAGCATCCTGGGATGCTGATGGAAGTCCTTTACTGGTAGAACATATATCACCACCTCAGACACTTGAAAAACTAAGTCTTTTTGGTGCTTTAGGGCATCTACCATATTGTCTTAAATCTCTTCCGAACCTTCTTGTATTGTATTTGGGCTTTTCCAAACTCAGTGAAGACCCACTTCTCATCCTTGAAACCATGCCTAATCTAAGAGGTCTCTATCTGCGCAGAGCATATGTTGGCAAGCAAATTGGAAGACTTAGTCCAAGCGGCTTTCCTAAACTTCAAAGACTCTGTCTCCATTACTTGTCTGAGGTAGAAGAATGGGGAGAAGTGGAGGAAGGAGCCATGCCACGCCTCTGTCAACTGAGCATCCATAGTTGCAAGAAATTAAGGGCATTGCCTCAAGGCTTTCAAGGCCTCCGTGCCCTTAAAGAATTGTTCATTACGAGTATGGAAAATGACTTTGTTTTGCGACTAGAGTGTGCAGATGGTGAGGACCGTTCCAAGGTGCAACATGTCGCTGAAGTTTGGATCAATGGGAAACAGATGAACAAATGATTGTTGGCTCGCTAGACTTAAGGAGTAGGCCCACAATCTCTCTGGTTTATGGCCTAATTCGTACGTTTCTATATCAGCTTGTTCAATACCCAGCTAGCTTTATGGCCTAATTCTTGTGTTTCTATATCAGCTTGTTCAAATACCCAGCTAGCATTTGCTTTTGATTCTAACTAGGATAATTATTTTTTATTTTGTTTCTTTAATTTTTGCCGACTTACTTGGGATTTGCTAGTTCACCATGCACTGTATTCATAAGAAAATAAAGTATTTATTGAGGAAATTGTTTCTGAGGCAGCCTGCACTTCCAAATTATGAAAATTCACGTATAGATCAGAAAACATTTGTGGTATTACCAAATGGTCCAATTATTTGCCAATTTTATGTCATTTTCTTGTGATAATTTTATTTCAGTTTTTCCCCAAGTCGATGTCAGCAACATCAACCTGTCAATATTTTTTCATTTATTCAATTTTCATTGCCTTTGCAGTAAGAAACTACTAAAATCGAACCTCCACATACATGGAGCGGTTCTACTAGCAATATCCAACAGCTCTACACTTCAAATTTTTGTACATATGGAGTGGTTCAACATTAGCAATAACGAACTACATTTAAATTTTTCTCTTAATTATGGAGCGGTTCTACATTAGCAATATCGTACAAATTCATACTTAAAAGAAGTTTCCAAGCATGGACTGGTTCGATATTAAGTACATACTAGAAAACTTTCTAAGTATAGAGCGGTTAGATATTGCTAACTGTTGAAAATTGGCTAAAAGATATTATGTTTTTACGGGAGTAGAATGTCATTTATTTCTTCCAGTAAAACCTAATGGCTACTAAATTATCCTTATTGTTTTAATTTTTTTCTATGTTATAATTTTAGTTTTAGGATTTATTTTTAAGATTTTTATTTTTTAGGAATTTTGGGTTTTTATATTTTATATTTTTTTATGAGTAGTATTCACATGTATTGTTCATAGGGGGTACAACTTTCATTATGAAAATTAAATTTAAGTTATAATATATAGGTCATTTTAATCATTTTATGGATATGTAATGTCTTTGAACATTGAATTACTATGTATAAAAGTTATGTGGGGGCTTTGAGATGCCAATTCTAAAGCGAGAAAAGCTTAGTCTTTTGGAGGAAACCCTAAGTTTCATTGAATTATGTATGTGTTTGGCTTGTTTCTTGTTGATTTTACTATTTTCTCAAACTCCTGTATCAAATTGGTATCAGAGCCCGCGATTTACACGGAAGTTACTATAGCACACACAAAAGTTACTATAGCATGTACGAAAATTACTGTAGCACCACATTTTTGGGTGCCCTAGGTCAACAACAAAGGGAAAGTTACAATCTGGGTCTACGGTTTTCTGATTTTGGTCAAACTTTTGTCAAAACAGTTTAGATTTTGTTGATTTCAGCAATTTTCTATTAGTTATTTGCCTAGGGTTTGTGATTTCGCCGAATCCATAACAGCGAAAATGTACAACAGAATGAGATTTTTGTAGATCCACTATGTGATCCTATAAATGATAAAATTGAGAAACTTGAAAGGTAAGTCCAACATCTAGTGCAGCAGTTCGGGAGCTTCAATAATGGACAAGATGATGATCTTTCAACTCATGAGAATATCGAGTACAGGCCTTTTCATTTTTGCGCTTCGCATGGGGAGTCGAGTGATGGGGATAGTGACAGAAGACCTAGAAGTGCCAAACATCACTCTAGGGTTTTCGATTTTAAGGATAAAATTCTTGAATTGAACTCAGATTGTATTGTAAATCAACCGAATGTAGATTGGGATATGCCATCAATCTTCAATATATATTAAGATGAATAATAATATTTTTTAAGCGATCCGATCTATATTAATGATCAAGATGATGATGATGAGATTTTGGAAGAGGTTGAAGAATATGGAGAGAAGGCACCAGAAGGATTGATGAAAATCGTGACCTTTGAAGATCTCATTAATATCGAAGAGGTAGTGCATTCAAGAAATTCAGGGTATTGGAATCATAGTAGTGTAGTGGAAGCATGTCGATTCAAAATCTGCAAATTGTAGTCCTGATTCCTCAATATACATATTATGATCCGTTTCTTGAGGAATTATCTTTACTACAAATAGTTTTTAAGCCAACAAAGAAAAAGAAGGTTGAAGAAGGTCGTTTTTTATGCTGAATTTATTTTAGCACACTTCAAAACTCGATGATGAGTTTTCTCGAACCACGGGAGAATGATGGAGGGCACATTATCTTTATCTATTATTTTTATTCAATTTCAAAAGGGTGCGATTTGTACAGAGTCGAGGCTCTCAACAATCAAATTTGAACCCACTTTCAAATAGTATCAAGAAATATGGTTTTAATATTGGAAATTTTTGTAATAGCCTTAAATATATTTTCATCTTTAATTATAAAATTTAAAACTTCAAAAATAGTATAGGTCGAGTAGATCTATGAAAACTTGAAAATCTTGAAAATTGACGTTAAAAAAATGCATTACAAGATGCACTATTTTCAAAACTTAACATCTATTTTTTTCTCAAGTCTATGCATCTTATGTCGAGATGATCAATTTGATGATATTTTGGTATCAAGACAATCTCTTCTAGGGAAATTTTTGAGGTAGGCTCTAATTTGATTGTTTAGAGCCAAGGCTTTAAGTAAACTTTTCCCATTTCAAAATATATATATTATAGTTTTTAGTTTTAGAATTTATTTCTAAAGGTCTTTAGGTTTTTAGGAATTCTAGGGGTTTTATAGTTGTTTTATTTATTTTATGAGTAATATTCACAAGTACTACTCATGAGTACTATTCATGGGTACTACTCACAGGGGTAAATTTGTTATTATGAAAATTGAGTTTAAATTAAGATATATAGGTCATTTTAATTATTATATGGACATGTAATGTCTTTAAACATTGAATTACAATATGTGAGATGTGTGTGAGGTCTTTAGAGAGTCAATTACAAATGATTTTTTGAAATTGAAAGAGATAAAGCTTAGGTTTTTGGAACCCAAGCTTGTGTATGGAGAAGAAGCCCTAAGTTTCTTTAAATTATGTTTATATTTGGTTTTTTTCCTGCTGATTTTATTGTTCCCTCAAATTCTCTTGCATCAAACAACTAGAATTAATTTTAGGACTCCAAATTTTGGAGATGTAACCTCTTCAACCAATAGATTAACCTCAATAAAAAAAAAAATCATAATTGTAACCTCTATGCACTTGAAAAAATAAGGTTTGATAGAGACCTTCCTATTTTTAAATTGTGGTATCTAAGTATTAGAAAGTTTTTTTCTTTTTTAGGATAGTAGTAATTCTTAAGTTATAAATAAAATTTTATGCTGAAAAAATCCTCCCCACTAGGTCTTATGATAGAGGGAGTAAAGTATTCATTTTGACTTAGTATTTTACTTTGTGTCCACATTTATTATGGGACAATGTTTCTATGAGGCCAGCCCGCATATTGTAGAAATGCGGGCTTGACAATAATTATATTTTTTAAATATAATTTGATCCAAATTTTTAGAGAATATATAATCTTTAACATGGAGATCATGAATATGAAAAATAAAAAATAAAAATAAAATAATGAAAACTAGAAATATATTAATATTTTTTTGATCACTAGTTAAAATTTCATTTAGATGGACCACCTATTTACATCCATCTTTAAGATGGACGCTTTATACCTCTTGACCGTGCAAATTAGAGAAATGCGGTTCAGCTCGCATGAAACAATTTTCCTTTATTATGACAACAAAATAATTATTTTAATGGCGATCTTTTGCTAATTGGCACTAAATTGGTAGGAATATTAATGGCATCATATAATGCGAACTTATCCCTATGCCTTCGACTCTTAACAACATTAAATGGCTGGGATTTCATCTTATCGAATATAAAGGGTCTTTATTTAGACGACCGAGCAAATCAATTTCTAGTACATTTACTGAGGAAAAAGCTTTTATAGAGCCGAGGTTCTAAATAATCAAATTAAAGCCTGCATCAAAATTTTCATTAGAAAATATTGTTTTGATGTCTAAATACCCTCAAATTGATCAGCTCAACATCAAGATGCTTGATCATGGGACAAAAATGGATTTCAAGTTTCAGAAATAGTTCATCTTGTAACGCATTTTTAGACTGTCATTTTTCAAGATTTTCAAACTTTTATACATCTGCTTGACCTACAGTATTTTTGAAGTTTTAAATTTTATAATTAAAGATGAAAGTATATTTTAAGACTATCACTTAGATTTCTAATATTGAAACCACTTTATCGATGATATTTGAATGTGCGCTTTACTTTGATTGTTTATAGCATTGGCTCTATAGAAACATCACCCATTTACCAAAGGACACGGTTAGCGTGTGGCCAGGCCGCATATTCTATTTTTTAGAGTATATATAATCTTTAACATAGAGATCATGAGTATGAAAAATAATCTAGACCGTTAGTTACAATTATTTTTAGATGGACCACCTATTTGCATCTATATTTAATGTCAATGCTCTATAACTTGGTCCTAGAAATGCGGTCTAGCCCGCATGAAACAATTGTTCTTTACTAAAGGATGCGGTTTTGATTAGTCAACCGACTCACAAAAACATGTGCATCTCCTCATGCATCACGCGTCCATCGTAGATGGGCGTTAAAACAATGGTGCTTCTATTATACCTCAAAATAGATGGTAGAAAAATATATTAAAATAATATTATTATTATTTTTGAAAATTAAAAATTCTATACTCATAATCACTATAATAATTGGGATTACCGAATTCCAAAATTTTGGATCCAAAATCCATCATAAAGATGAGTTTTGAAGGGGCCGCACATCTACAGGTGAGTCGGCTAACTCACCAAATTCTTTTCTTTCACCAAATATTTATATCGATTCTAAATAGGTTTACCCTTGGCAATTTACGTAATTACTTTGCTCATCTTTGCTATTGAAAAAAAAGGGAGATACAGCTAACCTTGGCCCTACTTTCTAAGCATGTTCCCCCTCCCCCCTCCTCTCTCTCTCGAAAAAAAAAAAAAAAAAATTATATAAATCACACGACTGACCCAAAAACTCTTTATTTTTCACCTCCCCTAAGTAAAAAAACTAGTTTCTTTTAGGATAAAAATACTTTTTTCATTAGGCATGTTTCTCTCACCGATCTTGTTTTTCTAAATGATGCCAGTCAGGTACAATGTATGTCAAACTGGCTTCAAGAAGCCCGTCTGGCACATTGTGTGCTGGCCCAATAAAATTTTAAAATATGT